AGAACCGGTTCCGGCTCCCTCCCCCCGCTGGTCCGCACATCATCAAGATGAAGAGGAAGAGGAGGAATTCTGGGAGTTGAAGTCCACAAGTCTTAAAGCTGTCAAGTTTGAACATCCCTGGGTTTTTTTCCCCCTAAAGGGTTAGGGGGTGCAAGGATGTTCAAACTTGACAGCTTTAAGACTTGTGGACTTCAACTCCCAGAATTCCTCCTCTTCCTCTTCATCTTGATGATGTGCGGACCAGCGGGGGGAGGGAGCCGGAACCGGTTCTAAACAGCACTGTAGATTTGTGGAACCTCTACTATAGAAGAGGTTAGAACTGGCAGGAACCCACCCCTGCTGTACCCTACAACAATAAGTTAGCAATAATAATAATTTCTGTAAGAAAAGCAAAGACTGGATGTTGGATATGGAAGTGCCTGGAGACAACAGGTTAGAAGAGAAAGAAATGGAGATAATCGCAAAGTATAAAGACCTGCAAATAGAAATAGAATGACTGTGGCAAGACAGCAAAGATAATACTCCTAATAATATTATGCGCCTTGGATGTAATTCCAAAACACCTGGAGCATCCCTTGAACACTATCAGCATTGACAAAATCACCACCAATCAATTGCAAAAGGCAGCTTGGCTTGGAACAGCTGACATCCTGTGATGATACCCCTAACAACATCTGTCTGTCCCTGGAAGGACTTAATAGGTGGATATAAATGCCAAATCCAGCCTAAACATCTGGCTAACTGTGCGACCAACCACAATAATCCTTGTAATGTCTGTTTCCTGACTCTGAAAAGAGTGCAGGAAAATGCAAGGATGATTAGGGGGCTGGAAGCTAAAACATACGAAGAACGATTGCAGGAATCAGATATGTCTAGTCTAGTGAAAAGAAGGACTCGGGGAGACATGATAGCAGTGTTCCTAATATTTGATGTGCTGTTGCAAAAAAGAGGGAGTCAACTTGTTTTCCAAAGCACCTGAAGGCAGGACAAGAAGCAATGGATGGAAACTAATCAAGGAGAGAAGCAACCTGGAATTAAGGAGAAACTTCCTAACAGTGAAGACAATTAACCGGTGGAACGCCTTGCCTCCAGAGGTTGTGGGTGCTCCATCACTGGAGGCTTTGAAGAGAAGACTTGGACAGCCACTTGTCCAGAAGATGGGATAGAGTCCCCTGTTTATGATGGACCACAAGACCTCCAAGGTCCCCTCTGACTCTTTATTCTGTTATTCTGTTCTGTTAATCCTTGCTCAGACATATTTTGGTTCTAAAGAATCCATTTCCAGAAATTCCTATGATATTCCTCCTAGAGATCCTCGTGAAAATTCAAAGGGATCTCGGGAAGACAGTTTGTTTTCATTTGAGGTAGTGGCCTTAGGCCAAAATTCCAGCAGAGGAAGAACAGGGGGTCAAAAAGGGCAGTTCACCCACCCCTTTCTTCCCCTTGAAGAGTTTTTCTTTCCAGCTTGCTGGTTTTTCCACCCTGACCAGGGGCAGCCCTCGCTAGCATTTCACTCAGTTCTGCTACATCCCAGGGCTCAGAGCTCAGCTGTCCTTCCGCAGCTTAACCTAATTCAGCACCAATTACATAAAAGGCATTAAATGTGATTAAAGGAAATAATGTTTGCACCAACAAGCTTTGTGGTTACGGTTGGGCATTCCCAAGAATGGGCAGAACACTTTTGTCATTAGTTCAAGGTTGTTTATCTTGGGATTTTCCACTGCAAAGCACCAGATCCTTTCCACCAGGGAGAAGGGATTGAACAAGGTTCCACGTGGATGAAGAAGGATCTTCAAGGCAGCATTGCAACGAAGCAGAGACAGGGGACACTCCTGACCTAACCCTGCTTGTGTCACCCTTCAAGTTTTTGTGGCTACCTAGTGAGGCCTTGTTGACGGTCACTCATGATTTGCACCTTACTGCAATGCGCTCTGCCTACAATGCCGCCTACTCTCTTTTTTTTTTTGAGATTTTTTTTAATTTTTATTCTCTTACATAGCATTTTAAGTATACATTCACATAGTTGTTATTCTTCTATACATTTATCATTCTTATACATTTATTATNATTATTATTGCAAATATTCAGTATATAAGTGAATGTACAAAATTGAAAATGAAAATGAATAAAACATTTGAAATATATATATATAAAAAAGAAATGATTGATGGCTGGCCCTTGCATGCTTGATCATCGCAGCAAACCCACTGCCATGTGATCAAAATGTGGGTACTGCGGTGGCACAGTGGTTAGAGTGCAGTACTGCAGGCTACATCTGCTGGCTGCTTGCAATTTGGCAGTTCAAATCTCAACAGGCTCAAGGTTGATTCAGCCTTCCATACTTCTGAGGCTGATAAAATGAGGACCCAGATGGTTGGGGGCAATAGGCTGACTCTAAACTACTTAGAGAGGGCTGTAAAAGTACTGTGAAACGGTATATAAGTCTAAGTGCTATTGCTGTAGTTGATTGGATGTTGCATTAGGAGCCCTGGTGGTGCGGTGGTTAGCATGTGGTAGTACAAGCCTACTCTGCCCACAGTCTGGAGTTCGAGCCTGACCGGCTCAAGGTTGACTCAGCCTTCCATCCTTCCGAGATGGGTAAAATGAGGACCCAATTTGTTGAGGGGCAAAAGGCTGAATCTGTAAACCGCTTACAGAGGGCTGTAAAGCACTGTAAAGCGGTATATAAGTCTAAGGGCTTTTGCTACTTGGCAAGTGGCATGTATTTACAGCACTTGCACAGTCCCATGTGATCACAAATTCCCATTTTTGATCTTTCCAACCAGTTTCCAGCAAGGAAAGTCAATGGGGAAACGAGAGTTGCTTGAACGACTGCACCATCCACTTACAATTCTCTTACAAAGAGCAGCAGAAGAATGGGGTGCATGGTTTTCCCTTTGGCATGGGCCCCACGGTCTCCCTAGACATCTTGCGATGTACCCACCTCCAATGCTCTCTGCCTTCAAGCTATTGTAGCGGTCCTCCAGACGATTCTTTGTGCAACCGGTCTTCTGTTTCACACATTGATAGTGACTAGCAATGCTGCAGAACAAGAAGACACAAGACCCAGTTGGCGAAAAACATTCCTGGCCTTTCAAAGAGCATGAGAAATTGGGAGGAGGAAGGAAGGGCCTTGACGCAACCATCAGGGAGACCAATCCGGACGCTTCACCTTTGGCTTGGGTGGATGCAAGCTAGTTCCAGAAATGCTTACTTGTCTACCACGGCGAGCGATTCAGGATCGGTGGGAGGAATCATGAAACAGACCCCTGGAGCTTTGATTGCATTTCCTCCATTGTCGCTAACTTCCCAGTACTCTTCGTTGTTCTTGTGCAGAGTGTACCGGCCACCACGTGAAATCTGACCCTGAAATAGAAAGGTTGTTGCATAAGTCTGAGGTCTGGTCCCACCCTCTGTCCCCAGTCCTTGCAGCCTGTTGTGGCCCGCCAGAAGCCAGGGGAACTGGCAGCAGAGTCAGACAGTGAGGAGGTTGGGGAGGAGCATGGGCCAGTCCTGGAGGCTGGGGAAGGCTCTGATGAGGGCTCTGCGTCAGAGGCAGAGACAGCGCTGAGGCTGTCTGGCAGGGATCAGGTGCCTACGGAGCTAGACAGCAGTGAGGCAGAGGAACAGCTGGAGCCTGTTCCCAGTGTGCGCATGCGCAGAGTTGCCAGAAGACAAGAACAACTCAAAAATCAGGATAGACTTGGGAGTAAAGTCACAGGTGGAAAGTGAATGGCCCCTCCCATAGGAAATAAAAGGGGAACGAAAGGGGAGGGGGCTTTTGCAGGAAACAATTNAACTGCCGACCTTTCTGATCGACAAGCTCAGCATCTTAGCCACTGAGACACTGTATCCCAACTGTAAGATTATAAGATTGTAAGATAGGCAGCTATATAAATATTTTGGATGGATGGATGGATGGATTGAACCCTTCAGCATGTGGAGCATATTGATTGTGGATGAGTTATGATCTTGTTCCTCTATCGTCCACACTAAAGTTCCCAGTTTCTCATAATCAGAGAAAGTGAATGCCTCATCTTCTATGGAATCCAAAACCTTACTTCCATCATGTCACTGCCTGCTGAGTTGGAAGGTTCATACGACACATTCGTCTCCCCCACATGGCCCAGGTGAGCCCCTCGTGCAAACTGGGCCATTCTGCATGCAAATCAAGTGTTCTCTGAAGTTCTCTCCTAAGCATATGAAGCAGGCTAGAAGCCCATTTTGTGCTCTGCACCAACACTAGCTTTCCCCAACTCTTCCTCTCTAAAAGTGATAGTACGTGAGAAAGACCTTGGGAAACTGGGCCCAGAAATGCGACCTTAGGGACTTTGGGTTGCGCAAGAGGCTGTGGAAAGATTCTCCCTAGTTCTTCAGGCTAAAGATGACATTGGGAGAATTGTACTTTCATACTTGCAAGATTGCTGTGGGCCTCACGGGATAACCCATATCGCAACCAGATGAATTAACTCTACTGTTGTAAACTAGTAGAACTAAGTAGAAACTTCCTGGTGATGAGAACAATGAATCAAGGAGAACAGCTTGCTTCCTAGAGTTGTGGGATTCTCCATTGCTGGAGTTTTTCAAGAAACAATTGGACAATCATTTGTCCAGGATAGTATAGGGCAAGGGGTCAGCAACTTTAAACACTCAAAGAGCCATTTCGACCCGTTTCCCACAGAAAAGAAAACACCAGGAGCCACAAAACGCTTCCTGTGCCTGACTATTTCCTGCGCGGCCACAAAACTAGTATATGTAGTTGAATTAAACATTCTGGTTTCTTCTGAAACTTTTCTTTTCTTAGATTTAACCATGGTTGACCTATCGGGGGTTGAAAAACTCAATAAATCACATGCCAGTGGGTGTCGGGTTCTGACACATATTTTGAGCAACAGTGAGCCGCAGCAGAGGTTTGAAAGAGCCACATGCAGCTCTGGAGCCGCGGATTGCTGACCCATGGTAGAGGGTCTCCTGTCTTGAATAGGGGATTGGACTAGAAGTTCTCCAAGGTTCCTTCCAGCTCTTGAGTCTGTGATTCTATGGGTCTGATTCTGAAGTCTGAAAGTACAATGTGGGTCTCTCAGCTTAAATCAGATAGGAATCGCAATCAGATGTGCTAACTCCACTTTATTGTAAAGTTACAATGACAGACTCTTGCAAACCTGAAAGTACAATTCTTCCCTGTCTCTTTTACAGACAGAGAAATTAGGGAGGGTCCCATCTGAGCCTCTTGCCCTGCCCACTATCCAACTACAGGCTATGCTGTCTCTTATCTGACTGTATCCTTAACAGCATTTCTTTGTCCAGTCTCCCATGGTCTTTCCCTCATATCCGCCCATTAGATGCATTGGATTCCAGTTCTTGAATCCTATCTCATTCATGTTGGAGTCACCATCTAAGGTGCTTCCTAGTTGAAAAGATTAGCGGGTGACATCACCATTGCTGTGGGACACCCTTGATGGCTTCTTTCATGTCCCCATTAAGGAGCTGGAACGAATAATGGGCATTCACCCCACCACTCTGGAATGTGGACTTACTAACATCTAATCTGGAGTCCTAACAGCATGAGCCACTGCATTCCCAAAGTTCCTGAGTGGGAATGATTTGAGTGGTAGCCTATCATATATTTGGAATCTTCCAGGCTGGAGAAGATAGGTCTCTCCATGATAGAGCAGAAGCCGCTCTGCTTGAAGTTTTCCCATCCCAACCCAAAGATACCAGAGATAAACTATGACCTTCTATGTGCCACTCAAAGAATCCAAGGACAAGCTGTGGCATCTTCTATCCAAAGCATACAGGCTGTCCACAAATGCTTGCAAAGTTCTCAAAAAGACAGCTGGCCAATGTGCCAGAAAGCAGGACTGGGAAAGACCTGGATTGTGAGGCACCAGGTGAATTCCCGTCTTGGAGAAACTGCAAGAGAGAACAAGGACTTACTTCTCTTCGGCAGCATTGAGAAGTTGGGCGACCCAGTTGTACTTGTTGTTGGTCTCCTCTACTTTGTTTTTCACTAAGGTGGTACTGCTGGACTCGGGCAATGACTCGATGAAGGCTTGACATTCCTGGATCTTGCTTGTTTTCTCTGGCTCAATGCGACGGATCTGATTGGTGACGTTCTGTAAGAGATGTTTCGGAGGGGAAAAAGTGAGATATGCAGATGAGTAATGAACATGGCAGCAACCCTGTAATGTTCAAACCAACTGGAGAAGATCTCCATGGTACTGTCCTACTCAGTATTTGTAACTGAGTGCAAGATTAATGCTTCTGTCCTGCTAATCCAAGCTTATGTCTGTTCTGACCCAGGTTTCCTTAGAAAGCAAGAAGCAAAGTCTTGGTCCCGACAAAACCTCTTTTATTTACACGACTGTGAATTCCTTTCATTCAGTCAGCAAGGCTTAGCAAACAGTCTTTCAGAGGAATGTTTATCCACATGCACCTTATCTCATTTAAAGCGCTGCCAGATAACTCGTGTCCAAACACAAATCAAAACAAAACTTGACACAGAGTCTCTCATAATCACAAACAGAACTTTCCAGACTGAATGAACAAATTGTTTCCTGCAAAAGCCCCTTCCCCATTCGCTCCTCTTTTGTTTCCTATGGGAGGGGCCAATCACCTCCAAGGTGTGGCTTTACTAAGTCAACCCTGCTTTCTTAGTTCTTGTCTTCTGACAACTCTGTGCATGCGCACACTGGGAACAGGCTCCAGCTGTTCCTCTGCCTCACTGCTGCCTAGCTCCCTC